GAAAAGGAGAAAGACGATCCGACGCGGACGATCCGTGTATTCCGCGCGCAACATTGAATATAGGCGCGCGTGTGGCACGTGCCAGCGTGCCCGCGGTTTTATTCGCCGGCGATTACAGCGGGACGAAGAGCGATTTCAGGGTTAATCGCCGCGGATGCAAAAACTCGCCGCTGGATCGAAGATGGGCGTTGAACGCGTTGCAACATTTCACGGTGGATGTTCGGACGTGCGGGGTAGGATTATGACGAACCGTGGCGTGTTTACGCCGCACGAGCCGCTTGAAATAATTAGTCGAGAGGTTTTCCTTTTCGCGAAGCCCTCGAAACCAGAGACGACGTTGCGTGGTTGGCGCGACGCACCCGACGTACGCCGAGAGGCGAGGAATGGAAAATCACCCCGCGTGCTAACTCAACGAACCCCTAGCTACAGTATCGACTTTATAATGCACATGCACTTGGCACACGCTGCGCGTGTACAGAGTGAGTCACAGAAAGTGTGGAGGCAATTTCCTGCGAAAATATTGATGACGTTAGCGTATCGCTCCCATTCTTATACTCAAGAAGCGAGAAAAACTCGCTCGCAACTAATATACGAAATTTAATTCGATATCGGATTTCTCGGGCGAGGCCGAGAAGATATCCGATATCTCTTTCTCTCTCTCTTTCTCACTCTGGCTTATCGATTATCAGCGGGATACCTTCGGGAATTAATCGTCGATGGGTGATTAATAACGGCAAATATCGGCAATATTGACTCGTTACATGATAAATATTGGGCATGCCAGTTTACGATCGCTACGTGGTTCTCTCTTTGCGCGATCGACGATCGCGAATCTCATTATATTTTATTTCGTCGTCCGTTAAGGTGGCGATTAACGGCCGTGATGAAGCGCTACGGCGGTTGCGTCGGCTCTAAATTAAAGCTATCGCCGAGCGTTGGTTCTGTTTTCGTGTTGGCTCAGCGCAAATGAATCTTACAGCGCGATAGCGGCGGTGCAATCTTTGTAACGACGTGATATTACGTATCACGGGTGGGAGACTGTGTGTCGTACGGTTTGCTCAAAAGGTACTTATCGCGTCACGGGAGGATAATTACAATGCGTGTATCTTTAGAAACGTATTTATGGACACGCCAGGGAAAATACGCGTTCCAATAATGTCGGCAGCGTCAACGTAAACGCGACTAATAACGCGTTCAGGGATGCGCCAGTTTTAATCGTTTACAATCATTACAACTTTCAGTCCTTCGTTTATCCACCTGACTGTATCTCGATGTAAATATTATTCGCCTTCGGGCGTATTTTTAATCCAGTTTCACCCGTCCGTCTGTCCGTTCGTTCGTTCATGGAGATACCGTTCGATCACGCGAATTCGCGAATGAGTATTTTCTCTCGCAGCGTGGAAATTCGAGAGCGAGAGGCACGAATGATCGTACCGTCGTTCGAGAAATAAACTCCGATCGAGGGAAAAAGCCACGAACCGCGGATAATGACGGGATAACGGCGTCTTCTTCTCGCGAGATATCGAATTCTCGCGGTGTCAAAGGTGTCGTCTCGCGGTGAAGAGCGCGATTTCGCACGCGCGCCTCGTGCCGCGAACGAGAATCAACCGACCGAATCGGAGCCAATTGAAATCAATGGTCGGGAAAAGGCGCCGCTCGGGCTGCGCTAAATCCGGGGCTACGCTATAAAATTGATGCGCCAACGAGGAGGCAGCTCCCCTACGGACATTTCTACTGGATAATCGAAGCGCTGAGAGAATAAGCGAACGGAGCGACGGGCCGGATGAGTAAAAAGAAAAAGCCCGTCTTTTTCACCGGTTTAGCATGGGTCGAGAATCGATGATTCGTCGTCGAAGGGGACGGGCGGGCGACGAAGGTACCGCGTTGCGGAATATCCAGCGGTAAACAGCGGTACTTCCGTCACGTTTCGCGTTCCTCGCGATCGATGCAGGCATCCTCTCGTGAGGTCTCTAAGTCTCGTCAGCTGACGATTCCAACGTCACGTCGGTGTCTTCGATTCTCGATAAACCGTCCCGTTTCTATTCGCGGTGTCTACCGCCGCGCGGGTTCGCGCGTACGTTCACGGCCGCGATGTTTCGCGACGACCGATCGAACGTCGTCTTATTTCCGGAACACGAAAGGGAATTCCGAATTCAATTTGATCCTGACCGAAATTCGACGCCGGGACTTCCCACACGGTAAATCTGCAACGAATCGCCTCGTGCCGGCGCACAGCGCCGCCTAATTACACGTTCGCGGACAAAATCTCGTGTAACTTTTTTTATTGTTATAAAAAAAAATATAAATGTAATGTGATAAGATTAAAGTGCGAAAATACCTATTTTCGTCCACAATTCAATACCAAGAGGTGAAAAAATGACTACTGTTTATCAATTAATTAAAATAGAACTTTTACGCTTAATTTAAAAGTTTGTTATTTAAAAAACGAGAAAACGAAGAGGTAATCCTTCATCATTTTATCTACTTGTCCGGGATTCGTCGGAAGATTCGCCCTCGCACAAATCGATAAGTCGTTGAGAACCGAGTGCGGCGTCAGTGGAAGCTCGCCACCGTTACCGAATCTCTAGCTCGTAAACAAGTAACGCGAGTAAACGTCCACGCGAGTTGGCAGGCCGCCTCGTACGTACACGTCGTAATTCAATCGGCCGTTACATACGACGTCCACCATAATTCAATAGACGTCTCGTCTCCGCTTCTCGCGCGAACGAGAGAAAAATGAGAGCCGGCGCGCGAGCGAGAGACGAGCGCCACGGTGTAACTCGGAGAACTTCCGGAGCGACCGCGCGATCAACGGAATTAAGGCCGCCCTCGCGGCCGTTTTCCCGACGGCTCGACTTCGGAAAGTATCATCGACTCTATTTTTGCGACTCCCGGAAAAGCGTCACACCACCCGACGCGACCTACTTTCGCGTTCTATGCAACGGGAACTCGACGCGTCGCTTTCGATGTCACGTCGCCGATGCAATTACTCACGCGCGGCCAGAACGGAGACAGAGAGAGCCAGATGGTTATCCCATGGATAACAGAATCAGGCCGAACGGTTGATCACGAGGCTCGTTAATAGCCCGGGTCAAAGTCTCGTGGCGACGACGATGTCTGCGAACCCGGCAGACGGTCGTCGTCGTCGGCGTTTTCGCGACAACCGAGATTCTATCGGACGAAGAACGCGGCCCCCGTTGTTCCACATTCTAATACCAATTAGCGGTATATAACGAGCAGATAATTAAATCCTCCCCCATCCGTTAGCTCGCGTTCACTTGTGAGAGCGTTGCGCGTTGAGCGCGATAAGCCACGTCAAATAAAAAAGAAAAGAATGTTAGACGCCCGAGTTTGTAATTAACTGGAATAAATCTAGCACCTTTCGCGTAATTATCGCAACCGCCGCCGTAAGGAGGCAAGAAAGCGATTTACCGCAGGAAGTGTAGGAACGGCTGTAATCAACAAAACGGACATTCACTAAGTCGCGTTTACAACAACCAGACGTTTACTTCAACCTCCATATGCTATTATACGCTTTTTGTCCTCGTCCGACACGGGCGTTGATGCAGCGCGAGTATGGAATGAACGTGAATCTCACAATCGACGATTCTCCGAACGATGCGAACGTATCGATCGGCTCGCGCGTGATTCACGAGAGAGAGAGAGAAGATCACCGATACGAAGATTCACGCCGTTCTCACGTGGAAGAAAAGTCGCGATCGCGACCCGGAGTCGATTCGATCGTTGGATCGTTCCTGTCGGCCGCGCGCGTATTGGCCTCTCGCAATGGGTGTGATTTGCGGTCGAATCACGAGCGGTCTAGAAACGCGGCTCACCGCAAGTAGTATGCGTGTCGCTAAATCATAGCTCGCGCCTCGTGATCGTAGGTACGTACATGCGTGTGATCGCAGGGAGCGGACAGAAAGAAAAAAAGAGGGGGCACAGTAATAAAGCGAGTTGCGGACACGCGGTAACCTAACGGTACAAAACAAAGAAGTGAATAAAAGAAAGTATAAAATAGGACGACACCGCGCGTATATTACCAAGCCCAACTAAAGTTGAGAAATTAAGGATAACGGAACGGGAACAGACGCAGAGGCGCGTTTCTCTCTCTCTCTCTATCTCTTTCGAAGCAGAAGAGGAGGAGCATCGCGTGCAGGTCGTCACCTTATAATCTTCTCTCCATTACAACGGAGATATGTGCAAGGTGTTTACAAAAACAAACATTGCGCCTCGATGTTAACAAAAGTTAACGAGCCGGTTATGTTTCAGACGGCCGACAATTGTTTGCAGTTCCGATACGCCCCCGACATTGATATCACCTATCGCCTCTTCTCGATTAAGCTATCTCATTTCTTCTGGCGCTTCGAAGAGTTCCGCGAATTCGCGCCGATAAGGATCGTTACATTAGCCTTCGTCCTTTCGACAACGGCTCTCGGTTAACGAGCTCCACGACGTTCAAAGAGTCGTAGCTCGCGGAATATTCCGTGTCTAAAGCTCGACCTCGAAATTGATCGGTCTGCGTTCACGGTAACGTCGAAACGAAGTCGTGAGAATCGAACGATCGATACCGCGTCATCGGGCCACCTCGAATTAATCAGCATCGCGAGAAGAACCGGTTCGCGCCGCGAGACAAACGCTGGTTTAGATACCGCTGTACGCGCGAGCGAGGACGTTCATTAATTTTCTAACAAGCGACGTTATTAAAACGCGATCTATCGTGTTGCTACTAACAACATCCTTCTCTCACCGGTTTCCTTGCGGGGCAATACGCAGACAACCGAATCCAACGCGTTCGTGAAAAAGTCGAATGTTCGGATAGCGAAATCCGAAGCAACGTATTATCGGCGATTATCATCGTTATTATTGAATTGCTTTCTACGTCAGCGCCTGGCGTTTAAACGCGAACAATCACGCGAACCGCCGACGTTCGCGCATGAATTCGCGCGATTTCGTACGATAAAAGTCACGGGTGAAGAGAAAGAGGTTTCGCTACTTACCAGAACCGTAATCTATACTCGGCGTGGGCGGCAGGGGGCTCTCAATAGCGCTCTTGCTGAACAGATAGATCGGATTCGTATCGGTTCCGGCCGAGTAAGAGCACACACGCGCGTTCGGTTCCAGGCTCTCGCCTCCGCTCATCAGTAGCACCTGCTGCGCCGCCACCACCCCGCAGTCCCTCTCGATCGCCTCCTTCAGTTGGGCGACACTGCACACAAAAAGCACATTGCGTATAAATAATTGATATATAGCAAAAAGTCGATCGGTGACGTATCGTATACGGAGAAAAAGACTTCTTCGGATATACAATTAAATGTCTTTAGTCAAAAGAAATTTGTCGGAATGGAGCAAACGAATGTTTGACTCAGCAAAGAAACCTCCTTCTCTCTGTGTACGTGCGTGTACATACGATAACTAACTATTAGTTAATTATTAATTTCCGTTCGCGTTTTTAGCGGAGTTGAAGAGAGAAGACGGCGAGGCTAGACTCCGTCCAGAACGTTTCCCCTGACCCCGGTCTCTGGTAAACATCGATCGAACCTCATAGGTCAACACGCATCCTCCGGGAAAAACGTGAAACGCGCGATGCATTCACTCGATCCATCGAAACACGGAGAGTCTCTCTTCCGCTAGAATAAATCAAGGGCGATATCGCGCCTTTAGGCAAGAAAGAAGCGTCGCTCATCAGTTCGATGACGGTTAGGCGATACGACCTGGTTTCCGTAAGGAGTTCATACCGCGTAATTACCGGACGACGCGTTCCCATCGCCGGATGTGCAACGGCGACGAGATAACGAGGGGAAGAAAAAGCGATCGAGGGCGCATTAAGATATTGCTCGTATCGTACGCGCGCGCGCGCTTTAACGTGATAGATTCGGGATCGTCGTAATATCATGCGAGATAAGTGCCGTCGCGGTTGCATAAGGAAAATCATTGAAGCGCCATTCGATGTTCTGATGCAACGAGGTCGGCGATTATTGTCAATTCTTGAAACAGTCGAGTTCTGCCAACCGGTTTAGTTTCAAGAAGCGCACGTGTGCAAAAATTCTGCACGCGAATAATTAAACTGCCACCACTCCATCAAGTAAATACAGGCCGAGCGCATCGGTGCGAGAGGCGTCGAGAGGTCGATGCAAAAAATGAAGGAAAAAAGAAAACGAGAAAGAGAGATGAGATGAGGACTTACGTAGCATATAGAGGGCCTTGCGTAATCGTATACAGCGTTCGGATTTTTTTTTAACTCCTGAAATCCTTTCTTGTCATGCCCAACCGACCGTTCATTTGCTCGTTCGCGATCATTCAACGAGCCGCGATCCGCGTTTTTTCCACTTTACGACACTTTAAGAAATTTAAGCCTCGCACGGCGGTCGTAAATGACGCTCGAAAGGAACCGTAACGGTACACGCCGGGCGGCATCGTTAACACCCTGCGCAAAGTTAACCGACAGTTAAGGAGCGCTCTTTGTTTGGAGTGGAAAGCAGACGAGATGCACGGGGCATTAATTATGGAGAGAAGGACGATTACGCCGTCAACGTAGATAAAATCGCAATATATTTCGCTCGTAAATACAACAGCGTCGATCACGCGCATCTGTCGAGAGCTCGAGTCGCGGCGGTAATTCGTGTCTCCGAATAGAGATCAACCGAGAGAAATTGACGTCACCTCTCGCTTCGGACTCGACGATTTTTCCTCCGCGCGAACCGCGCTCGACGTGTCATTAGCGGGCGATTTAGCGCCGAGATTGCGAATCTCGGGTCGAGCTTAGGCGGCGGTGATCGAAAGCGTTTCGCGTCGCTGGCTGCGGAAAAACGCGTCTCGCGCGCATCACGCGAAATATCGCCAGTCACTCGTGCTCGGATTACAGCTGACTACACAAGCTCAGCTGTGCGAGCGCCGCATCGCGAGACTGCGTGTCGTCGGTTGCGCGCGTCACGGCTCGTATTTCACGCGTGCACGCCACGACTACGCTGCAATCTCGCGGTTTCGTTCAAATCTATCGATGTCCCACTCCTTTTTACACGCTTCCCGAGATCGGCTGTTAGTCGCCTTGGCCGTTGTTCACTGGAAAACGGGACGTATTAATGCGTAAAATGTGTTATCGGTATGTTCCGCGTCGGAAACCTATCGATATGTTAAGTATTGATGATAATTTTATGCGACTCGCCGCCCGTGTGAGTCACCACCGGTGAACCCACGTGCCGTTGTATTAAAAGACAAATTTTACTCGTCGTGTAACACGCGTTTGATAATTAATATCATAATATTTCATACAGTAGAAAACGTGTTCAATTTAACACGTTAATCGATATCGTGGACAACGATAAGGATAAACAATCTTGTTGCGCAATAGATAAATCGGACGAACAAGGATATTTCAAGCGCGTAGATACAGAGAGAGAGAGAGAGAATTTTACGACGGTTTTCCACACACGCGCACGCAATGCGTTTACGCCGTACGTCTGAAAACGAGTATGTTGCATCGATTCGAACGATCGTAACAAGCTGTTGGCTCGCGCGATTTTTACTGACTAACGCGTAGATATTTCTTATCGAGCACGTAAACTGAACGAAGGTAACCGAGCGAAATATACGCAGCCGGAATTATTGCAGACACACTTACGACATACAACGATCTCAACGCCTTTAATCGTGACGCTGCAATTAGACCGGCGCGTATTTACACGTTCACGCTTAACCGCGCAGCCGCGATTACTAAGCAGGCGCGGATAATAAAAGCAAATCGGAGCGGGGGCGCCCTCGCAAATTGACACAGATCGTTAATTGCTGCGGCGAACGGGGCCGATGACCGCCTCTATCGCCGGTCGCTATCTTAATCCGCAAATATCGATGCGCCCGAGAGAACGAGGAGCTCCGATATACGCGACCGTACGCGAGAATAACGATGCCAGATCGCGCGAAAACGCGTCTTGCAATCAACGTAAAATGACAGATGAACGCTCCACGCGGAGAGACACCTTTCAAATCGGCAAATTCATCGGCCGATTTCAGGTAGTTTCCGTCCGAGGTGAAACTGTCCTCTAAATTGAGTAAAAGCGGCTTTGGCTTCGGCGCGAATTACGGAGATCGCATTGTACGCCGTAATTACAGAATCTGCTTCGTCCGTCTTCAAACATTGTCGGCTATTTTTTGCTCAATTGACCCTTGACGTCACGTCGCTCGAATACGAGGAGGAACCTCGGCGGCACCGTCACAGAGCGGTCCCTTAGAACCGCTGCGCATTAAAAGCTCGGCCGAGCTTGGCGTCGTACGACGGCGGGCGATTCGGCACGCGTGGTATAATATAGAGAGCGACGATGCGCGCCGCCGGCCAAACGATATATTTTCAGTGCACGCGTCACTCGCAGCGTCGTGTCGTCCGTTTCTTGAAAGCGCATAATCGCGTCCGGAAAGTATTGCGCGCGTGTGAGACGCAAAATGCGCCTCTCTACACGTTTAATGCGCTGGAGACGACCGCACTCTGCCCATGCGGAAGCCGTTTATCATATGCCGATGCGCACAAATTACTATTCTCCCGGACTCACGTCCACGTTAATCGACTACGACACGTCTCACGGACGTGAAGTTTCAAAACGAGAAAGAAAATGGAGGAAAGAACATGAATGAAACAACGCGAGATCGCTTAGTCACCAACACTTTGTCGATATCAGTCGAGCGTTGATTATCTGTGACAGATGGTACCGCCAAGATCAATAATTTTGTACGCGAAGGTGAAATGGGATTGAACGCAGAGAGAACGCAGGAAAGTTTGTCTGAAACTGCCGGCAAGTAAAAGGAAAAGTTACAACATGCAGCGCTTGTTATTTCCAAAACTAAACAATGTTACAAGTTAATAACGAAAACTTCCGATCGATTATTCATTTCGAGTTTTATTCGCGTTTATTTTGTAAATATCTCAATCCCAGTTGCCATGTACGTTCTCGCACACACAACTTGGGACTTGAAAATTTACAGAGATGGAAACATTTATATCGCGCGCCCCGCGTGAACAAACTTCTCGCGTGAGCGTTACCCCGTGACGAAAATGTCGAGGATAATCGCCGTTTCAACCGCAAATTCCCGGTTACCATTATTGCACATTTTCGCCCGGCCGGGGGTGAAAATTAAAATTTAATTTCACGGTGAAGCACGCTACGTCCGAAATTGCGCGGAGAAATACGCTTTCGGCGGCGATCCGCTTGTCGATTGAACAAGCCGATCCTCTGTAGGTACGACATGCTCGTAACTAAGGGGATAAAGAGACGGACGCGCGCTCTCAATCGGAGCGTCGTCGGGAGTACCGAAAGAGCGGCCCGTTCGTTTGCATCACGCGCGTGACGTGTACACGCATTAGGAGAGCTTGGCCGAGTTTACCGTCGGGTCAGACTCGTGCGCGACACGAGCCAACCCACACCCACGTGCGCGCCGCGTCGATCTCTTCTTCTCGCTGTACATTATTTTCGGAGTTGCGAGCGCGTAGCAACGCGCGCCGCCGTCCCACAAGTTTCCACGCGCACTTCCCGAAAAACTCTCTCTCTCTTTTTTTCTCCCGAGGCGCGGCGCACTTCGACACAACGCAACGCCTACGTCCGAGACGCGGCTGTTCTCTTCGCCATTCGTTAACCTTCGACGGAACCTTGGATCGCCGCTAAACGCCGCGCTAATGACACTACGCGCGCGATCGGCACCGTTATTATTATCCCCGGCTATCAGCGTAATTAAGTTTCGTCGACGCAAAGCAATTACAGAACTCGCGTAATTTGTGGCCGCTACATGAATGATCACGCTCCACGTGAAATTCCGATATCACCGGATTGTAAACTTTAATTAACTCAATAATGCGACACTTTCGAAGTAACAAAGCGTGACGGACAAGAGGACTCGAGATTAATTAATAGCCGGAGCCGAAGTTCGTCGAGAGACGCGGGGGATTGAAGTTTCCTCGAATCCGATGTACTTCGAGATCACGCGTGCTAACTCATCACCCGGCCTCGAAGGCGAGCGAAAATTACTCACGTAAACGATAAAAAAAAAAAAAGACGCGAGTCGTAAGCGCGTATACACCGGTGTAAATAAAAAAGAAAACGTTACAATGCAATCTTCGCTCGTGCCTGAACAAAGCGCGAATGTACGCGTGCTTCTTCGGGTTATCCGCTCGATTATTTTCGCCCCGTCCCGCCGTTACTGTACCCCCCTCCGTGTAATATTGTTCCATTACGCGTGCACACACAATGTTCGCGCTCGAGAAGATTTTTCCCGCGGTAGCGAACAACGCTCTCTCGCCTATCCACCTATCTACGACGAAAAAGAAAAAAGTAAATAAAAATACGCACGTGTAGCATAATCAATAAGGACTTACCTCTGCAGGGCCAGCTTGATGTCGAAGGTGATGGTGGTGCCGGTGTCAACGTGGAATATATACAACATCTCGTTGCCGGTGGTGCGCCCGGGGCGCCGACGACGACAAAACTGCTACAACGGCCCCGGCATCCGCCGTCACGGGTCCCTCCCTTCGCCGAGGGCCCCGACAGCAGCGACAACGGGCCCTCGCCTCGGCGTTTCCCCTAGCAGTCAGCTCGATCGGGGCCGTACCCCACGTTCCCGGTCGCTCGCGAGTACGGCCCCCTCGGGTCTATGCCGCATCGATCAACGCGATCCCCCGACGTCGGTCCTCGCGACGGAAACGGCGCTCCGCTACGTGAGAGACACGTCACAAAGTTGCATCCGGATCTCCTTCTTTGTTGCTGAGAATGCTGACCGCGCGTCGGGGGGACGGAGAGACCCTCACCACTGGTGTAGCACTGTCGACCGCTCTCGGACCGTCGAGAGGGAAACTGGAACGTCCACCGTCTTTCCCCGCGCTCGCTCCTTCGACTCGTTTTCTTTGTTCCACGAAAGGATCGATCCGTGATCCAGCGGACGAACAACGGAACGTCGTCGGGTCGTTCACGGCCGCGTTCCGTCTCTCTCTTCTGCTCGAAGTGGTCGATCGTGTGCCTTATGTCATAACGCGGCTCTCCACGCAACGCGAGCCCCGGTGCACACTCTCATATACACACACATTCACACACGCACCAAGTTTGCGTCACCGAGCTCACTCCGCTGAACGTGACCGAATACCAACGGAGGAAGTTTCAAGCTTGTCGCTGGCCCGTCGTCTCCCTTCCGAGGCCTCCTCGTGAATCCTCCCCTAGAAGGACTCTCCGAAGCGAAGCTCCTCCCGATCCCCGCCGGATGATTATTCGCGATTGCTGCAATCGATCGCGCGACCGAGTCTCGACGTTCTCACGTTGGACTTGACGGAAATACCTCTGACAACGGGGAGAGTCATCGATCGATTCGCGGCGATGCGGCCAGCTGCTCGCGTGTGTTTTCACGTCACGAACCAATCGGCCGGCGGCCGACACAATGACGTTTCAGGGCGCCTCGTGCAGGGCTCTACCCCCGCGATATTTCGGAAGCCGCGCGTGAGAACGTGGTCGAACTCGCGTTACGCCGAGAGATAACGCCGACGCGTCCACCGTCGCTCGGATCAGCTGCTCGGCAAAACAAAGCACTGGCGCGCCGCGCGCGTTACGCCACCGTCACGTTCGTCGCGCTCTCTCGCTCCACCTCTCTCTTTCTCGCGTGTCTCTGTCTCGGCTGTCCCGAGAAAAACGGCACCGCGTACACCGCCTCTCGTGTTGTGTCGCACGATGCCGTGCGCCGGACTCGCGCGACTTCCTCGCGGCAACTTCCGCGCGCGCACCGTCGGACAATGCACCACGGCCAGTGCTCTCGAATGCCCGGACGACGAGCCACCGAAACCGACCGAGGCGCGATGCAACACAAACAATGCTGCGCCGCGCGCGCTACCAGCTATGCGCAGAACCGCCGCCGTGCGGAACAAAGAGACTCCTCCGCTTTCCCCGCGGCTTTTCCACGACGTCGGCGTGCACCACCTCTATGCACCACCGCTCTCCGCTGCAGTTGGGCTACACCGGCCGAGTGTCGCTCGGCTCCGTCCACGCCCGAATTCACGACAATAATGCGCCGCAGAGCCCGACCGAGCAGCAGCCGAGTGCGCGTCGCGTCTCGTTGGGTGTCGGACGACCGAAGGAAGGGAAAGGGGGAATAGGCGAGCGGTTCGCGCAGTCCCGTTCGACGTTTGCTTCCGACGCAGAGCGCCGCCAGCTGTTTACTGCCAAGCGCTGAACCGAGCGCGACCGCGCACGGCGGACAGAACGTCCGGGACGAGGAGAGGAGGGGGACGGAGAATGATTTCAGTCGTCGCCGCACGGCGCTCTATGGCGCTTCGCGTCGGCTAGTTCAGTGATGGATGCGAGTTTGAATTCTCGAGTCGTCTAGAGTCTTTCTCTCTCTCTCTCTCCGCGAAACTTGAGACGTCGATCGCGTCCCGGCGGGATCAGAAGTTCCCGAAAATTGATGATGATTCCAGGACGGGTTTCGGCTGGACGCAAAGGTACGTACCGATCGCCGACGATCGCTCGACCGTCCAACGGCACACGGGGACGGCGGAGGGAGCGAAACTGCCGTTAGCGCGTTTAAGATGGCTACCCTAATGTAAGATTCACGAGTCACGTAAATCGTGGCACCGCGCGTAAACCCCGTCGACGGCCCTGCGACGCCGACGATCACGCTAGCGGCATAGAACGAGCGCATGCGTTACTTTCCTGTTGCGACGCTATGTTTATTGTCGAGTGTACACCGACGCTGCTAGTTGACCCAACGTCGTAGCTCTCGCATCAGATAACCAAAGATAATCTGAGCGAGCGCATATTTTCCATGTACGATATCGCAAACTCGAAACTCCCGACGCTCGAGAGAGACACGATGGCGTCATGCGCCGATTTACACTTCTTGCGCGACGTCATCCTCGAGAAAGACGCCGTATTCTTCGCGGGGACAGCGGGGCGGTTTGTTTCTTGCGCATAATTTGGCGTCGATTTTCAACGGATTTGGATCCCAAAAGCGCGCTCGTCCCGATGGCGCTGCTACTACAGCTGTTCGATCGTTTCGTCGCGCTTGCGTGACCTCGGTTGATCACGGCCCCCATGTCGTTCCCCCCGTGTACTTCGACGAATACGGGCGTACCTCGAGACGCTCGATGAATAGGAAATATCGACGACAGTGAACCCGAGCTCGTTTCCCGGCGCGAAGACGCGGTCGCGAGGAAGCGTCGAGCGTTCGCTCTTCGTGAACGCGATCGATAATCGCGCAATTCCCCGCGTGTTCCCGACGTCGAACGTCCAAGGAACCGGGCTTCGAGCGCGATACAGAGCCCACAGTGGATACACCTCGATCCGAAAATATCGTTACTTCCGAAAATAACGCTTCTGCCGACTACCGCGTGCGTAATTGGTCGCGCGGATTGCGTCAAGTTCGACGACTTCTCCGGAGTCCGGAGGCTGTGCGAAACGAGAGGAGGAATTGCATCAAGTATCGCGACATCTCTTTCCGAGTTGGTAGGAGAAGAGCGTAAATGCGGCCAACGAGACGACGCGTATTATATCGGGTTACTCATACAGCCGGAGTTTTTATATTTAATTCTCCCGAATTTTGAAATATCGAGGACGCGATAACACTGGTCAATACGAAAATTGTATCCCGGTTAAAATTGAATTTAAACCGTCAATTCTAGTTAATTTTGTAGCGTTAATCACGAATACAGCAATTAAAATCGAAGCTTAGCTTGAATTTTTACCATATAGTGGACAACAATCAGAAGAGAGTTTGATATTTGAGGCTTTCGTGATTCGGAGGAAAGCGAATGTCAAAACCATCTCTTTTGTAAAGTTAATTTTTTACTTTGAAGTGATATGTATAGCAGACCTGTAAAAGTTTATGAATAAGATATACGTTTTAATTTTCTGTGGGAGGATAAAGACTATTTCCATTCTTTCGTTGTAATGTTCTTTATTTATTTTAAATCATTAAAAGACATTTAATAATATAACATTTAAAAAGGATTTTAATTTTTCTGATAGTATGAAACGCAAAGAGAAGAAATTATCGTAAAAATATGTCGTGTACTTTTATTTTCATATCTTATATATTAATTTACAAAAATTCAAATATGACTTATATATTTCTTGAACTCTAGCTGAATAGTTTGTGTTATTGTCACTTTCTGTTTACACATATAAGCATAAATAGACAAAAAACAAATTCGAAAAGGATGTCATTTATAATACGAGTTTTTTTTTTTTCACCAATGTAATGTAAACGAGATGGCCAATTTTCCTGTGTAATTTTCCCGCGAACGCTTAATAAGACTTGGAGTATCTTTCCAATTGTCTAAATAAATTTTGGAGCAGTTTATCTCGAGAATCCGTATTTTCTTATCAAAATATAAAGAGACAACAATGCAAACGTCTACGTAAAGCCGAATAAAATCGAGTCGACCGGCTTGTTCCGCTTTTTTCGCCGTACACGAATAAGCGGAACGACTACGGACTGAAAACAAAAGTGAGTCGTCTGGCGGAACACCGTTAAGTCCGTTAGACTCAACGAATTTTGGTGATCGCGCGCGCTACGACGCTTTCACGCACTTGATATTGCGAGCGGTCCGAGCGATTAGAATACAATGACGAGTCTGGCTAAGCACATTGAATTTGAATTCGAATGCATAAGAGTGGCTTATTGCGTCGCGAATAGTTTCAACGCAGTTAAAGGCCAATCTCGGCGTCGTAATTACACGTACACGTGCGTGCTGCTGATAAGGACGTCACAACTCGTGCTAAACGTTGAGGTGCGGGGGAAGGTTACATGTATATAATATATACGCGTGATCGTGTAATCGCTACACGACAGATGTCAAAAATGTTTCCTGCATCGATAAGGTTTTTTTCGACACGCAAGATCTTTGAATGCCGAGAACTATGTTGAAACGCACAAGCGTGGTTCGAAAGAGGCTTCGTTCATTCTCGAACGCGGATAAATCGATCGTTGTCAGATAGCTAATATTTCCGACAGGGCCTTTAGAAGGTATCAAACTTTCTCCGTTACCGGATACTCTACGGAACGTTCAAGCCTATTAATTGCACGTGTATTTTAGCTAATGGAAGATTTGACGTCACCGGTTCTTTAATATGTCGCATAATGTGCTCCAAACTGTTTTAATTAATCTGTTTAAATGATACTGCGTCTTTTTTTTTTTACTTTATATTCCCTTGCGATTCAAAAAGTGTAAACAAGTGTATTCGTTAATTTATCTGTATTTTGTATCCAGTGGAAGTTTCTATTCTCTCGTTTATCTAATAATAATAATAATAATAATAAAGATGTAAAAAGGTGCGTTTCAAACGGTCTAACGCACCGCACGCGGATTTGCACGCGAAAGACGCGCAATTCGCGATGATTCATTATCGATGACGCAACTACGCTTCTCGACGAAGGTTCGCCGACATACTTCGTATTTCGATAAAAAGTCGTGAGTCAAGCATCAGGTGTACTCACACCGACGCGCTTCTTATAAAATGTCACCGATCGCGCGATCACCGGCGAGGTCGCGCAGCGACAACGTTGTTATTGTATCCTTCGAAATGCGTGTCAATACGTTATCCTCGCACGGTATCTCGCCATTTACATCGAAACTGATAAGCGCGGCCGTGGCGGAGTCGTGAATTTAATTCGATTTGGCCGTAAATGAATGAAATGAAGATCAGGCCCCCCCAGGGCCGTAGCAATTTCAGCCAATTCGCCGTCGAGCGAGGTGACCGCGCCGGTCATCTCGTCGATCATCAACGATTATTTCCCCCTTGTAGAAATGCACTCGCGGAAGCGAAGCTCTCGCCGCCGCTCGCGTCGATTACGCGCGGTATACCCCCTCTGGAAAATTAATTAGACGAATACAAAAGTTTTCGTTTCATTTCCCCCTTTCCGACACTGGTCGCTTTTGTCAGCGGTTCTTTCGCATCTTCTTTCCCTTGTGTTTCGTATTACAAATCGGAAATCACTTCCTCGACTCTCTCGTTTCCACCGTCTTTCGAAGTTTGAGAGTAACGCGTGGATCGTTGCATCGTCGATCTATCCGCTCGAACGCAACGAACTACCCGTGTTTCGTCATCCTTGACGAAATTCCTGCTGATCACACGGTCGACACGCTCTAAGCGTGGTTCTACGACTAAGGCGTACAGCAAATATTAGGATTTCTAATCTAACCAAACGTCCTGTTCGAGTGAGAGATATATGGATGGATGAAAGAGAGATAACTGCACTGCGCCCCGAAATTCAACGTTTCTCCTAAATGTCAAACAAAGTGTAAATCATAGGGCGACGTTTGCGCATAACGTTAACGTATAAAGTAAAATATTTCAAGGATATAAAAAAAATACCGAATCGGGAAACAGGTTTACTCACGAGCCGTGCGAGATTGCTTCTCCCCTCCGCCCATCAATGAGAAAGCGCAATTTTGACTATCACCATGTCTGGTCGTTTCGCATCGTTACGCGATCTTTCGCAATCGACTTGCAACATTCACCGGCGACCAACATCATCATTATCAACGAGGAAAACAAGAGCGACTACGCGTGAAATTTAAAATTAGTCCTCCTCCCCCGAGAAATCCGCATCGAGAACTGCGTATTTAATCATAATCAAGTGACGCAAGCACAATCAAGCGAACGCAAAAGAGAACGTTGTGCCATCAAATCGGGTACTGTTATGCGGTCACCGAAACAGATATCAGTAATTAGAACGTTAGCGCTCAATGGAGGGAGGGTAGACAACTTCAATTCTTAGAATAGCCAAAGTTGTTTTGCCTGATAAGACCGGATACTGAAGATAGACGCGATAATCTTCGGACATCTTTTGTCCCGTTCGCGAAAGTCGCCTCGCGGACGAGATTACGGGACGCCAAAAGTAGCAGGAAATCCCCGAGCGTGCGAAACGCGTGGGAATCGTGCGCGATTAATCCACTCATCGAGAGAAAGGAAGATCGAGAGTAAAGCGGCGCCGATAAGAAGGAGGACGGGGAGGAGAGAGCGTGCGCGCGTGTTGTGTTTCTACGCTTCTCTCGTTTCTGCGCGCTCGTGGAAACGAAAGCAGCTTGCGGGAACGGCGCGAGAAAGATGCGATCGCGTGTTACGCACGGCACGCGCGTGGAGAAGTTCCCTCCGCGCGCCTCCCGGCTCCTGTTCTGTTCTCTGTGTTCCTCTCTGGCTTAGCCGCATGTAGCACGCCAGGGAAGCATGC